TCAGCAAGCTCGCCAGCATTACCCTGACTTCTTACTTCCCTCGGCCCATCGTCGCGGGACGTGAAGAGGGAACGCGGGGTATAAACACCTGCGGACCCCCTTGGCGGGTTTTATAGGGACCAGCTGTGTGAAGCGTCCGGGTTGAGTCGGCGCTTCAGCCCGGCTCCGCTGATGAGTTGACAGCAGCCACGGCTTTTTCATCTCTGTTCAGTTTCCACCTGATTCATATGAGGAAGAAAGACTCTCGGGTACCGCAGCTATGGGGAAAATAAAAATCAATCTGAGGGGTTTATTCTTGTAAGGCAGGGGAACTGCAGCTCTGGGCACAGGTGAAGTTCAGTCTCTATCTCCTGGTGAGCCTGCTGCTGTCAGTACAATGTTGGGTGGCCCTGGCTGTCTCATGGCCTGCAGCTGGTCCCTGGGAGAGGACCCTACGAGAGGCAGACGCATCCCGTTCACCTCTTCTGCAGGCTTCCAAGTTGCATAGCTCACTATGCAACTGTCTCCCAACACGCGTTCCCTCTCCTGTCTGCGGTACAACTGCACCTTCAGGAGCACTAGTCTTCTTCACCCAGGAACAGTTTCACCTGTGTCACAATTTCTGTTCTCCTTCCACATCCTCTTTGCCAATTCAAATGTGCTTCTTCCAAGTGAGAAAGGGATCAGGGTTCATAACAGAATCTTTGAGCTGTGTTCAGTGCACATTGTGTTCATTTTCTTGTAACAACTGAAAATAGGGAGCTGGACTGTTCTAGTTCAGTGCAATTTCACATGCACTCAGCTGTAAGTAGCAGAAAGCATTAAAATTTCAGGAGAGAATGACAGTGATGCTCCTGCTGCTCCAATCAGTGGTGAAATAAAATGTAACACCTGTTAAGTCTAGATGAGAAACAGCTGAGGGAGATTTTGCCTATAAAACTGCATGTGATGTGAAGAAGGTGATGTCTGGTTGGTTTGTCTGTGATAATGCAAAGACTTTTTTTTGGGGGGCGGGGCACAGCAAGTAGAAATATTTAATGGTAGATTCAGACCAAAGAAGAGCCTTCGTATGATATGTAATTAAGATGTGGAACGTATTGCTACAGGCCACTGTAGATGCTAGAAAACACACATGGCTTCAAAAAAGGCAAAAATTCAAGGACCACTCCATTAAGGGTATGTGATCCACCAACAATGTATCTACTTTGGAAAGTCTGGCATATGTAAACTTGTGAAAGCTGGGACAGTAAAGTTATTTGCTAACCATCTATTCTTCATGTTTTTATACTCTTCTCTAGGTACCTTTCATGGCCATTCTCAGAAATGGTATACTAGGCTATACTGGTCATTAATCTGAGCTACTATTACTATTCCTATGTTAGTACTGTTTAAGGATTAAAGGTATCGCCTAAATATATAGCCCTTCTTGAGGCACTCTTATGCTTGTCATCTTATACCACTATATACACGTGTTAGATTTATCATTAATTTTTTTTTTTTTTTTTCCAGTAGTATCAGTTACAAGCATCTGAGTTTGTACTAACTGCTATATATGTTAAATAGGCTCCTGCATCCATGAAATAGTGGTTTTATTTTCATGGGAAGTACACAATATTTTGCTTTTGTAAAACATAGGTGCTTTCTTCATTAAATTAGTGTTCCTGTTTTGAATTACCCAACTTCATTTAAAATACTGGCTTTCTAATGAATAATTCTAAGATGTTCTCTGATGGCAGATCTAAGGGCAGGACCACTGCATGCTTATGAAGAAATGCTTTCTGAAGAAAAGAACTTTAATTTTGAAGCCACTGGCTACTGACTGTGCTTTGAACTTTGGTTTGTACCAGGCCTTCCCACAGAAGCTTTCGGGGACTAGCCAATTTTATAGTGTCATTAACTATTCATAATGAACTAAACCATTGAATGACATAGGAATATTTAAAATGCTGGATAAAACCTTGAATTAGAGTATCTGCAGATGCTGGAATACTTTACTAGTAACTCTTGAAATTTATTTAATTCTTTTGGTTCAGGGACCTATTTTTACTGACCAGTTATTTTAGCCAAAATATTTTCAAAAGTACTTGATTCACATTCCTGCCTTTGGAGCGCTACTAAAAAGCTCTTTGTTTAACAGCTTACTTTGAATTTATATAGATTTCTGTCCTTCCACTTTTTTTTTTTTTTCAGAGAAGAATTAATTACAGAAGACTATGGGTCAGTCTTATAAAGGACTTTGATGCCTAATGCCCCTTTGATTTCTCACTGAAAAAAAATGGGATTTAGTTATCAAAATACCTCTACAAATCTGAGACTATGACAAATTTTTTTTACTCTTGAATATACTATATTAAATATTTATAAAATCCTTGTTTTCACCTATTTTTCTCTTATACAATGTTATCATTGTCTTACTGCAATAGGTAGAAACAGATGACCAAACAGCCCTTGTTAGTAAGCCCAGGAATAAAAGAGGAAACAGTGATCTGGCATCAGCTGGATTTAACATTATCAACTCTATCATAGGATCAGGCATTATAGGTAAGTATACTTTTCTTTTATCTTGTGTTCAGCCTTGTTTATACATGCATGACTATCCAGTTTGGAGAATAACAGTTTTCTTACTTTCTTCTGCTGTTCCTAATGATTTTCCTCTATTTTTACTTGCTTACTATGTGAAAATGCAGAGGTGTCAACTGAGATCATGGCTCAGTGGTAAATACCCTACAGTTTCTTTTGCTATAATGACCAGAACTGTTTGGGCAAATGCTGACTGAACATTACACCTAGGCAGCACTTTGTCCACTAAAAGTTAGCTTTCTAAGGTTATTAAGCATGCTGGTCCAATTTAGGAGATAGGTAGCTGCTATTTTTTTTAAATCTGAGTATTTCTTTATTTTGGTTGTCATGAATAAGTATTTTGAAAGGTTCTTCTATAATCTCTCCTTTTCTTATTTACAGGATTGCCATATTCGATGAAAGAAGCTGGTTTTCCACTAGGAGTACTGCTTCTACTTGGGGTTGCCTTTATCACAGGTACTCTAAAAGCAGTTGCGATTGTAAAGTGAAAATTAGTCTTGGAATATTGAGCTGATCTTGAGCTTAATGATAAGTTAAACAAATATATCTATGACAATAAAGATGACAGATTTTTTCCTTACCTCACTAATCCCTTGAGCAGATTAGTAAAAGTAGAGAATTATACTGTGCAACATATAAAGCTGCTTTTTGTGTGCATTTTATTTTTGTAAAGCCTAATTTCTTAAGACTAGGTCAAGGTGACATTTGGAAGAATACCGCTTATTTGTGCTTCATAATCACTTGTTTTAGTCCACTGTTTTTACCCTAAATAAGAGGCTGATCCTTGAGTGTCAGTGATCAGAGGCTGATCACTTGTTTAGTCCACTGTTTTTACCCTAAATAAGAGGCTGATCCTTGAGTAGGTTGTATATCACTTTTTAAGAATACACCACAGAATTAAAATCTTTGGTTATACTATGATTTTGAATATTTTATTTAGTTATCATTCATTAAAAAAAATGGATTTACCATCCAAATGGGACAAGTTTTGAAATCACATGGTAAATAAACATAAGTAAATCCATTGGCATCAAAGGAGAATTTTGGTAAAGACTCTGGATTCAAGTCTTAAAACAAAGAACCAAGTCAACGTACATGGCACAGATTCTTTTACCCATATGCTGAGCAATATTTGAGGCTTTTCATTGCTTAAAATGTAATTTAAGGATCTGCATAAATGACAGGTTTGACTGGAGAGCAATATAACATAAGGAATATGTTCCTTCTGAATGGAAAATTCTCTCTATGGCTGATGGCAAAATAGATGAAGAAAATAATATCATAAACATAGCTCAGAAGTTTCAGTTACTTTTCTGTAGGAAATGTGATTTGTCCTTTGAACTTCAAAGTGTACTGAAGACTTTATAGCCATAGGCCCAGGACTTGTGAATTAAACTCAGTATTTTATCATGTTAAAAATGTGAATCAATATATCTTGCATGAGCAAATTATAACTATAGTTGCAACTCTTTGACTTGTAGCCTTTAAAGTACAGGCTAAGTATGTAACATTAGCATTTATTTTCCATAGTTTTTACTGAATAATTGGCAAATAGCTGGTATTTAGCAATTCTCACTGTATTTCATTTTGAGGATGTTTTTGAGTTATACTGGTGTAGTCCTAGATTGACAGAGAATATAATTTGAGGTCATTTGACTATAAATCTTTTTCAAGTTTTGTGGGTCTAAGACCCCTTGCTACAAAGACTTAGTGTTTCTTGTACAAGATCAGCTCAGTATGCAAAATAATTGATAATGAACAATTCTGTATTTCTGTTTTTGTCTGCTCCCTATTATAGTGTAAGTGAGTATACATATTGTGTAAGAATTGCATATGCTCATTGGAATCTCTGGATTGGCTTTCACATTAACACACAGTAGAAATCTCCTTTCTAAAGACTCTGAAAATTTCATAATTTTAGTAATTCCCAGAAAATACTGAACACCGATACTGTTCACAGAAAGGAACTGTTCCTATCACAGCATAGATTAGAAACTAAGCGAAAGCCAGATGAGGAATAGACAAGGTCTAGTTACTGTCTGTCAAGACATCTGCACTAAGATAATAAATTCTCTACTGTAACTGATCTGGACTAGAATTATCCCATGGTGCCCAAATGAATAATAAAGCATAGCTTGACATAACAGCAACATTTCTGACTGTTCTTCATAAAAAGTTAAGGTTCAGTCTGGGAGTAATTCTGCCTGTGACATCAGCTCTGTCTCAAGCCATATTGCTTCATGGTTTTCCAGATAAAGCACTTGCACATGTTTTTTATAAAACTATCCAATAAAAATACTTTTTTTATTATTATTGTGAACTGGATGGAGAAAATACAAAATACTAACCGGGCTTTATCTTCCACAAACTTGGGTAAATAGCTAAGTAAAATGATGAGGAGTTCTAGCACCATGACACAAGCTGTCCTTGCATTTTACCCTCTTTAGGATATAATCAAATGTTACATCCATTCAGGAGCCCTCTGCATTATTAAATTGGTTTTCCTTTTTTGATGCTTGTGACAGTTCTCATTCCCTTTGACCATATTGGAAACCAGCGAAAATGAGTCTGTTTCTGATGTCCCTAATCATGAAAGCTGGTATTTCTTTCTAGTATGAGCCTGTAACTCCTGGTTTTGCTGGATTGAGATCCATTCTGAGATTTCTCATCCCTGCTCTTCCCAGTGTCACTGTTTTCCTTCTTACAGATTTTTTTTTTTTTTAAGTAATGAAAAAGATGAGCAGTAACCAACCACAAGTGGGTTCATACTGTCTTTAACAGCAATTTTATATTTTAACAGATTATTCCATTATATTACTGATCAAAGGAGGAAATCTCTCCAGTACCAACACCTATCAAGAGCTGGTCAGAAAAACATATGGTCTTGTAGGTTATCTAATTCTTTCAACTCTTCAATTTTTATATCCATTTATTGGTAAGATCATATAAAATAAAATTGTTTAAGTTTTATAAATAACAAGCTTTTCACATTACCTTATTCTGTCACTGGTTAAATATTAAAAACTCTATAAAGAACATACTATATATGTTCTATTTAAGAAAAAAAAAATACTTTGTGTATTCTGAAGAATTACTGAGGAAGAATTCAATGAATTGGAGGACCAGCATAGAAATTAACTGAAATGTAACAGAGAAATTAATGATCACACGCTTAAAAATTGATGCCAAAAGGAGCTATGAGAAAAAGTAAAGAAGAGATTCTGTTCTTGAATGAGTAACAGAGTACAAATTTGTGCCTGAAACAAAAGGAAATTACTTTAGGGGTATACTGAATTTATATTTTTCCAGAAATCTAGTATTACTGTCATTGGAGAAGCCACTGATCAGGTCTTGCTTGAATATTATGTGCTGGTCTTCAAAAGCATTAATTCAGCCTCATACCTAATGAGCTACTAGGAAGCTGGGTAGTCAAGACCCCTTTGAAGAAGAAATAGTAAAAGAAAAAACAGATATTATCTGGGCAGGAATTAATTAGACTAGAAGTTTAAAATAAAGTTATATTCTGAATTTGTCCCCTACAGTAGTAGCATAATTAAATCAAATCTTATATAAGTTTGGTATTTTCACACATGGGCCTGCAAGAGGTGGTGACTTGAGATACCAAGTCTAGATTTGGTGACCACAGAGTCCCAGATCAAAATTCCTACTTTGTGAATAATCAGTCTGAAGTTGTTATAGGTAGCTGGGATTCTTAAGGGAGTTAAGTTATTGTTACTGCAGGCAACTATGTTACACATGTTGACTTTTTAAAAGTATAATTACTACTTCATAGAGAATATGGAAAAAAAAAAATCTCAGTCCTTACCATGGAACTATTGTGCATATTTATGTACTTGAATTCATTTCTCTAAGTACTGTTAGTGACTTACAATTTCACAACAGTGAATATTTGTGCATTAGGTAGGCTCATTACCTATATGTATGCTGTCTAAATGGTGAAGACCACATGAGTATATAAATATTTTATGTGTATGTATACACACATGCGCACATATAGACACTTCTAGTGTAGAATAAGGTAAGACTGAAATACAAATATTAAGGCCACAGTTCTTATTAATGAGAGGAAGGAATGGAAGTCCACATCTGATATCCTCATCTATTTTCTCCCCCTTTCTTCTGGTTTAAAGATTTTACTAACTTTTTACATGAGCTAGGAAGTCCCATGCATTTGATTGCAGGACTGATTATTAGACTAACACAGGAACTTTACTAAATAGAAACAAGAATTTGAAAATAAACTGACAAAGAATTACTGTTATAAACAAACAATTTTTAAAAGCCTTTTTTTTCCTGTTCTGAAGTAACTTTATATGGCAAGACAGAACAACTGCCTTGCTTATCAGACTGGATTCTTGCTTAGGTTGAACCTGTTTTTTTGGGGTTCTTTTGTTTTTTGGTTTTTTTTTTTTTAAAAAAGGGGTGGGACAGGAAACATTACAGAAAGTTTTATCGTGTTTTAAACTTGAAACTTAGAAGTTGTTGGTGCTAGCCAGAATTCATACAAGAGGGATAATGGCATTTAATCCTAAAGTCTACAAAATATGTGTATTAAATGTTTATCAAGTATTTCATATTTGACTTGTATTAACAAAAAATTTTATTTTCTTTAAGCTATGATTAGTTACAACATAATAACAGGAGACACTTTAACTAAAGTTTTCCAGAGAATTCCTGGAGGTAAGATGCATTTAAAAATTCAGAACAGGGAAAATGTATTGGATAGGAATATAGCATAGGTATTTAGGGATTAGCATCCTGTGTCAGTCTGAAGTTCTACCTGTTACTTTGCTCCTGAATTATTCTTAGGTATAGTTCAAGTTAAGAACTTGAAGCATAGTTGTATGGGTGGTTTTTGGTGGGGTTTTTTTTAATAAGTCTTTCTGAAATAAAAACTATGAATCCTAGTCCTTGGTTATGATTGGACTCAGTGTTAGTGAAGAGACCAGATGCTTCAATAAAATACTAAGCAAATAGAGTCTTCCACAGTAGTATATTTACAGTGTCATCATATTTTTTCATCTTTTTTAGATAATTGCTATAATAATAATAATTTGAATACTGAGACTGCACTTTATCTAGTGAATAATTCTGCATAACTTGCAAATGATATAATGGATTTAATGCTTCCTTAAGCATATCTGTAAAAGTTGGTCAGGAACTGCATATGTAACTTGCAGTTCTCTTAGATATTCACTGCCAAACCAGATGTGGCATTTTGAGATTTTAACTCATCCACTTGTTATCCTTCCTCTGCTGTAAGTTTTCACAGCAAAATCAGTGAAGCAATTTGTGTGCATGTTTTCCATCTGCTTTAGCAGAAAGCCAGCTAAGTTAAAACATTCTTCACTGGCAGATTAAACTAAAAAGAACATGTCTGCAATGAAGTGGAAATTACTATTTGTACGAACTATTTCATTTCCACAGGAGGACTATAATTTTCAGCAGGTGAAGCCTACAAGGTGTGGATGCAGTTTTAATTGTCACTCTGTTCTGTGAATTCCTGATCAGGTTGATAGTGACAGCAAATATCTAATAATTTATATACAATATGACTTTTGTAATAGAAGGAACTCCCAGTTTGGCACATCTTTTCACCTGGCTGGTAGAATGCCTACCTGGAAGGAGGTGGGAAAGCATTGTAATCTCCCAAAGAATAGAGGGAACTGAACACAGACTTTCCCTGTCAATTGCCAGTCACTTTACAGCCATAATTATTCAGGAAGCTTTCATTCGAGTCCATGATTCATGATAGCCTGACTGAAACTGGGATATGTTTTATTTTAAATTGTTATGGGCTTGAAAAAAACACCAGTTATACAAATAAATCCTACTGATTGCAGGGAATATTAAAATGTTGCCTTCACATGGTAATATGTATTATGCAAGTGCAAGACAGCTGACAGCAAGAAAGGAGTTGCTAAAAAAAAAAAAATCTCAAAATTAACTTACTTTAGGATTGTTCTTTAAGAATTTGCTTATATTCAACAGCATAGTAATCGATGTCAATACAGAGTATCAAAAAATCCTCAAGAGTAAATGGTGGAAAGAAGTAGTAGAATGTTTTACTTGCAGTCTGCCAACATTGACCTGAGCATGATAAAATAAATTAATACCAATCTATATGTAGAAATGACAGATTTCCAAACTTTGGTATAATGTATTCCATATGTTATGCATTTGGTTTAAATTTGCAGAACTCTTGTGATTATGGACATGCTGTGTAGGGTTTCCTCAGTTAATGCCTGGTCTTTATTTCAGTGTTACTTAGCTTGAATAAAGGGGATAAAAGCATGGTCAACATCAGAGTTTGTTACTCATAGCATTTCAGATGTAACTAACCTGTCCTCATGTCAGTCTCTTAGAAAAATAAATTATTTTCTTTTTTGCTTTAGTTGCACCAGATAATGTGCTTACTGACCGTCACTTCATAATTCTTCTTACCACCATCATCTTTACCTTGCCTATATCTTTATATAGAGACATAGCAAAACTGGGAAAGGTAAATCATCATAGCACCTGATTTTTGGTTCACTTTTCTATATGCCATTAGAAAATAAGTTCAGATTGTCTTCTGTCCTAAGAAATATGGGAAAATTTGGAATAGTTTAAGCAAAACTTTGGTCTCCGTGTGAATCACTGGAATTTTTCCATCAGCTGCTGGTAGAACTCGAGTCTTGTAAAGCACTGGATGATGTAGGCCTGATCTTGAAATGCTGAGCACCATTGATTAGAAATGTTTAAATGCGAATATTACTTAAAATTAGACAAATAGTTACAATTGGCTAATTACTCAAAAGAATAACGAATTAAAATATGATGATATTGGGAAAGCTTTCTAATTATAGGTATTTGATGTGATATTTAGAGCTTCACTTGGTTGTTAATTAATCTTTTAAAAAATATAGTAAGTACATTATGCTGCTAAAAGGACAACTTTTCAGCAGCTTACTGACTGAAGTAATATTTTTACCTTTACAGGTATCTCTTATTTCTCTGATTTTAACCATTGTCATCCTGGTTATTGTGATGGTGAGAACAGTAACATTAAGTCCACAAGTGTAAGTATTCTTGTTTAATTCTTGGAAGATGACTAGAGTAGGAGTTTCTGAAGTTGTACTAGATTATGTTGTCTATCATCCATAAAAATGATGCACTCAGAAAAGTGTGGGACTTCCCACCCCGCCCCCCTTTCTGAAGCAACATGTTTTTCATACTGTATGTTAAAGGAGTATTTGAAAGGGTGATCTCAAAATCCCCTGTCAAAAAAGGAAGAAGCTATACATAATGATTACTGATGACCTTGTTTCTATGGTAACGTTTCTTATCAACAGTTGTGATGCACGGAAAAATATGGAATATGTGGCTTTATTTTTTTGTTACAATAAGTAATGTTGGGTATTGAGTAATTCTTGAAGTTTTACTTTTTAATTCTTTAAAGACTTCAATTTTTGCATTTAGACTTCTTGTTTTCAAAAATGCATCTAGCAAGTTGGTAAACTGTTAATCAGAATTTTTTGCTTCACATTCTGTCAATGTCTATTTTTACTATTTGTATTTTACAGTTAGAAATAGACATATGCTTTAATTATTAAAACCATCTTCTAATATTTTGTTAATAGTATGATGGTATGCCACCTCTTTTTTCTGCCATGAGAATAAAGAACACTAATATATTTTAATATGGGTCCCATCATAGTAGTATAACAACTGAAACAAATAAATAATGCATCTTTTGGAAAGAATGTCATGATGTCAGTGTCTGCATCATTCATAAATCTCTAGGAAATACTTAAAGAGCATAAGAATAATACTTAAAGAGCATATGTACACATAAATAGGATGTGAGAATTACTCAACTGGCAGCTGATCACAAGGATGAAACTCCAAGTGTTCAGGAAAAAAACCTGGGAAGTAGAAAGCTGATTCTTTCCTTCATATAAATAATCCAATAGTAAGCAAAGATAAACTTTATTGTGTGGTGGAATTAAAAATTAAAGCTAAGCTATCATATATTTACAGAACTGCTAAATAGTTCATTAAAGGAGAAGGAGGAGTTAAAGCAGCTGCGACTAAATGGGGCTGACATATAGCTTTGCCTTGTCTGTCTTCTTTAACAACTGAGATGACTTTAATATAAAATTCAATGCTGATGTGAGCATTGCTCATTTTCTTTCCATTATATTGACTGAAGTTATATTCAGCATCTGTAAACTTTTTCTGTATCTTTAAACTTCTAAAGTTTAAACAAAAACTAAAAAGATATTTTACATTAGAATAGAATTTAATTAAAATTTTATAATTAATTTCCTAAATGTCTAAATCATTGAATTAAACCTGAATTTATCTGCCTTGTGTTCCTGGATTATTTTCATAACTGCTGATTTGCACCTAAACTTGGTGGTTTGTAGCTGATCTTCAATCCAATGGAAGTCTTTTGCTCATTCCAGTGGGTAGCTCCCCTGTCAAACATATGACTTGGCTTCCTCCCTTGAAATTAACTTTTTCTTTTCAGTCAGTGTTACATACCTGAAAACTGGGTTGAGATCAGAGATGTATGTTTCTCTTGCCCTTCTTAAAGATATTTTGCTTCTAATGCACTCTACTGCTGTATTACGTTTGGCAGCACTTCTTCATAAATGACAGAAAAGATTTTTGCATAGCATGGATCTTAAGATGGGGAGTATTATACTGTAAATGTTTTACCAGAAGTAGAAGATATGCTGTTTTAGACTGCCAAACAAATTTGCCCAACTCTTAGTCGTGATCTGTGTGTGCAGTGCCTTTTACCCCACTAACATGTTTATTATTTTATACTTTCCCGTAAGTATACTGAAGACTAGGTAGAGTCTTATTTTCTTAACCTCTAGGCTTTACTCATCACTAGGCTTCACTACCTTCTGATGGACAGTTCTTATTGGCAGTCTGTCTTGCTGTGCTCTTACTTTCAGCTGAGACTTTTTGCTGTCTCCCTTGAAACATCTTTTTTGTTCAATCTTTTATTATTTTTGTTCCAAGAATCATAGTTATATTGCCTGCCAGCTTTTACTTTGAGATAAAACTTCTACTATGTATGATAGACAGTACAGCTCCCAACAAATGCATTTTGTATCACAAATCTATTTCTTCTGTTAGCTTTCATTGTGTTTCATCTAACTACTTCTCATTCTTCTCCAGCATGAAAGAAACTTTGTGTTCATGGAGGCATAGCCTGTGTTTTTGTATGCTGAGTGAGGAGCAGTAAGCTAGCTGTTTTTGTCATTCGTGGATGTTTGCAGCTACTGTTATTCTTGTATGAGCAGCAATAAAAATCTTCCCCTAACAATTCCTAACAAGAATGTAGGTTGAACTGGTCAGAAGTAAGGTCCTTCTCAAAAAAAAAAAAAAAAAAAAAAAAAAAATCTTCTTGAACAGTAGCAGCAGAATTGAAAAAGCAGAACTCTCTTGTGGTAGACTCTTTCAACCTACCTACACATCTGCCTACACAGACACACATATTTGTATGAATGTATGTGTGTTTACTTTGATGATATTTCCATTAGGTACCTTTTGTCTTGTGAGTAATTTTAAGTGATTATTCACTGTATGGCTCTTCAGTAACTAACAGCTACTGTTTCCTGGCACAATTTTCTTTCCCAGTCTGAACTCTTATTTTATATAGACACTTTCATGTCACCTGCACCCTTTTCCAGGAGCTTTGCATAAGACTGTATGTCCTGCAGGCTGGACATGGGGATGATTTGTTGTTGATATGGTCAGTACTCTAGAGCTGTTGACTCTTAGTTCTAAATACTCTGAAATGAAATTTCTTAGTGTATTGCTTTCATTCCTTAGTTTAGGTATCACCTCTGTGCAAGATCCCTCTGTTCCTAGGGTATGGAAATGTTTTTCAGAACACATACAGCAGTATATGACTTGTGGTAAAAAATAGCCATATACTGTTGCATATGTCATAGGTACCAATGTGCATTGTATGACACTGCAAACTGTTTGAAGTGTTCAAATCATCGATCTGAAATTCTTCCTGCATTCCGGAACTGGAATGGAAAGAATTTATCTTCTTATGCTGCTAAATAAGGAGGATTTTGTTCTTTTGATTTTTTTTCCCCCCAAATAATCTGATTTGTTATTCATCCATAAAGCAAAGCTATATTTTGGTGTGTTGCATATTGCTGGAGCATAAGCTAACACTATGCAGGGAGAAAACTAGCTACTGTAATTATTTATTTTTTTTTTTTAGTGATTATTTGGCCACTTTATTCAAAATGTTTCAACTGAAATTCACAAGCTTTCTACATTCTATTTTTTAAATCCCTATTTATAGGAAGTAAGGAGACTTTCACAATTTCTGTTATGAAAGGATAGTATAAACCAAATTTTCGTTCTGTATGTTTGCTATCAAAGCTGACCTCTAGTGGTTACAGAATGGAATAGTTATCTTGTTAGCTTTCTATATTTTACTTTTATTTTGGAATATTATTGATTTTTTTTTTTCAGATCAGATGAGAGTATTTTCCTTAAAAAATAATACATTCAAAATTATGCATATGAATTGCATATGACAATGAATGTCCACAGACATCTTGAGTGATTTGAAATCAGTGGCATCAAGTTAAGGGATGCTACTCTATATAAGGAACTACAGTTTCACAAGGCAAATGCCAAATATCTGTTTCAGCCATAGTATTTATTACATCTACATGCTGAGACTGAGAATATTTTAGGAGAGCCATATTCAGCTACTTAAGACTAGAAACAGTATCTTCCAGTAGTCAAAACAGTACACTGCATCTAAGGATGAAAAACTGAACTTGATTTTGATGCTCAGGTTCTGTTCACTTCAAAGTTAAGCTTAGCAGCCACAGCTTAAGAGCTGAAAAGGTGCTCTAAGTCTGAACTGCGTGTGCATTAGATGCTGTAGATATGCTTTTTTAATATAGAAAATGAAGGATTGACTATTTGAGCTTTCAAGAAATAGTAAGTTAGGAGTTCTGAAAGGGGAAACAGCAACATCTTTTTTTGTCTTTTTTTTTTTTCTTTTTAGGGGGTGGGAGTGGAGTTAAAACATTTGAAAGTGATGAAACCTAGCATTGTGTATGTCACTGCAGCTGTCAAAACCAGATAACTACCACCAGACAGAGGGAGAGACAAAGCTGCCATTGTTACCTCCACAGAGCTGGCATCAGTGCCATGCTGCTTTCTAGGGCAATAGGAAAATAGTAGCTAAGGCCTTAGGTGGCAGCAGCTTTCCCTCTAAAAAAACCAAACAAACCTGTAATCAAAGTTATCAGCGGCCAACTTTTTAAGAGCAAGCTCCTCTGTACTGTTCCTTTGCCAGTGCTTTAATATTAAAAATGTAATGTTCAACCAGCTTGTGAATTTTGTATGATACTTTTAGCAAAATTTAGTTCTGGAATTGGATGTTTCGTGTCCTCCTTTCCTTCATTTTGGCTCTTTATTCAGAGAGGAAGTTCATGCATCAAATGGGTTTTAACAAAGTTTGCTGATAGTTTTCTGTCCTCCTCCTCTAAGAACTGCAATTGCCACAGGTCCAAAATTTTGGGCATATCTTAGAGAAGCAATTGTCAAGTATATTACATTCCTGCCTGATTGTAAAAGTCTCCATATACTCTCATACACATTATGACTCCTTTGGGAAGTGTCAGAATCCCTTTAGTGTGAGCAATAGCTGGAACAAGTGTAAACAAAGGCAAACTGCCTCGCTTGGTTTGTAGCCTAGGAAAAAAAGTATCTCTAGACTGCCTGGATTACATGTGCAAGTTCAAAGGAAGAAATTGCCTCTAAATAGTTAGATTTTGGGTTGAGATAACCTTAGTTAGAATCAGTAACAGGTTTTACCTTTCCCCGTTGCCGTTTGTTTGTATATTATGACTTGAAGAGTTTATTTACAAAACTTGTCATTGAAACAGGCTGACGTTTTTGGCTGTAAAAACTGTTTACAGAAACATTTTAATCAAAACAAGGGAGGTGAGGAGGGTATCCCCCTAGTTTCAACTTATTGTTGGTGAACACTATGGCCTAGTTCAGAGAGTTCTGGAGATCTGACTAGCAGTTCTGTATTACTGTATGCTATTTTAGATTATTTTTAATAACTGATACTGGAAAGAGGATAATTTATTAAAATGTATGTCTGTTTTAGACCCAAATCAGAAAATGCATGGATATTTGCAAAATCAAATGCAGTACAAGCTGTTGGGGTGATGTCATTTGGTAAGTAATTATTTTTTTTATTTTCAATATTCAGATCAACTGTAAGAAATTATTTAATAATTTGGACCTAGAAATTGCATTGTTTTAATTGTATTTTTTTATATACATGTTAAACTGGTTTAAGAAAAATTAAGATGACTTTGAGTCATCCGTAGGTGAATTTAATTGTTGTGGCTTAAGGCATTATCCCCATCCACTGCTCATCTGGCCCTAGAGGCTATAGGGCTACACGGTCTCTGTAGCGGAGACAGTGATGTGGCACATCAAACCAACTCATCTTAAAACACCTGTCTGTTTAATAAACTGAGGAGGCTGTGATCGTCTGTGTTCTCTGGGATAACCCTTAACAGAAGAATTTTAGACTGACATACATACATTCACTAGAGAGCGCCTGTTGTTTCCCATTTCTCATAATGAACCATTCTGATGAACCTCAACGCGCCCCCGTTATCCTCATTCTCTAATCTGTTTCTGCCTGGAGGAGACGGTATATTGATTCTTGTTAACGCTGTGATAATCTGAGGCCTCCCAATGCTTGCTGCTGCTTAAAATGGATGCCATAGGAACTCTGAAAGTAGCAAATAGCTCTGTGGATTTAAAAAAAATCTCAAAACTGCTGTTGGGTTCTTGAGCAAAAGTGCAGCAGGAAGAGGAAATAGAGGTGGGGAGGATGGGAAATGATGTGGCATTTTAGGGTAATGTAATCACAATAATCTCAGGATGAATATAAACCTTCAGCAAATCAAATAATTAAAAGTTCAAGTCATTTATTTTTGCCACTCGTTGCAGGATTAATGTTTGTATTTAATAATGAATGGATTCAAACTGTGCTGTCTCTCCTACCTTGGAATATGGACTCTGTGAATTTATTTTATATGCATATATGCATTGATTCATACATTTGCTTTAACCGTTATGTGTGTTTCAGCATTCATCTGCAACCATAACAGCTTTTTAATATACGGGTCTCTGGAAGAACCCACATTAAAGAACTGGTCTCGAGTCACACATGTGTCTGTCTCACTTGCTTTTGTTATCAGTGTAGTGTTTGCTGCATTTGGATATATGACTTTTACAGGATACACAGAAGGTAAACTGCTTGATCTCTCAATTTTGGTGCTTGCTGTAATCCTTACATTTCTGCCTTTCTGTCTGACTTTTGCTGTTAATATCTTAATGATTGTAAAAATGCCAAAAATCATACTATGTTTGGACAGAAATAGATAGGACATTCCTTGTAGTTACCCAACAACCAAAATGGGCTCCGAAGTTGTCAGCTACATGCTAAAAGGGGTCAGATTCCCAAGTGTAAGCCTCACCAGTGAAAGTCCCATTTGAATGCTTCCATGATCAGAATTTGATCATCAAAGAATCTGATCTGAAGACTAGACAGCTATAATTTAGGCGCATGGTCCAGTAGCAGAGAGCAGTACGAACAAAAGTTGCCTTGATTTTTCTACAGGGTGCCTAGCATATATTTCTGTACATTGTCCTCTATCTTTTCCTGTCTGTGCATCCTAGCTCTGGCTTAAAGATACTTCCTATCTTTACAACAGCTGTTCTTCTGTAACTAATTCTACTGTCACTTCTGTGTGCATATGAATATACATATATGTATAAATATATATGATCAGTGTTACATCATACTATTTAACATCATTTTGTTGAAGTAGAGATGGTGCTTTCAGAAGAACAACACATAAATTTGTTCAGTGTGTTAGCTTTTTCAGGAAAAACACACATTTCATAAGCAAATATATTTTCTGTTATTTAATAGTGCTATCCTAAATTGTGGGAGAAGGCTTCTAAGCTTTTTCCTTTCCTGATGAGTAGCAGCATATAGCTGAGAACAGAGGAACTGTAGTGTAGAGGTTACTCTAATGTGTGTATGTTAAAATATTTTTGAAAGATAAATGCTACTTGAAATAAAAACACTGCTACTAGAAGGGCAGGGTGGAAGTTCCTCCTGGATGTAATTTTTGACTGTAGCTACAGTTTCTTGATATGTATCAGGACAGGGGATCAGAAAGTCTCAATTACTCCAGTAACTCCAGTAGCTTACACTTCAACTTGCAAGTAGGCAAATGACATGAAGTTCAAACTAATTGTTGTTTTGCTGTGCCTCAGGAGATATATTTGAAAACTACTGTAGAGATGACAACCTTGCTACATTTGGAAGGTTTTGTTATGGAGTTACTGTAATTCTGACCTTCCCCCTTGAATGTTTTGTGACCAGAGAGGTAAGAATTTATTACATTCTTCTTTTAAGTGTCGATATATATTAATAATATTCTCACATTATTAATACATATTGTAGCTGAAGTCAATGGTTGAGCTGTAATAAATGTCAGCATATCCTATCCTGCTACATGCAATGAGTAAGAGGAACTAGTTGTACTGTTTAGATTCTGGCAATATAATTTTCCATCACATTTTTTATAATATTATCCAGTATTATTTAATAATTACTTAATAATATCAGGACTGCTTAAAAATCCAAGTTTGGCATAAACGTCACTGTTGTTATATTGAGAAGAGACAAAAATAGCAGATTTATCATGCTTACTAGTTTTTTTGCTTTTTGAAAGTAACTGTCTAGGAAATCCACTTCTTCTAGAAATAATTGTAAGTGGTTTTTATTCTGTAGTGGGCATAAGTATAAGCTAAATCCTGGAGGTGTAAGTCAGTCTTGCAAGTATTCTGCAATTTTAATAATGCTTTTTATGAATTATTTCTGGAAGCGGATGAAGATGTTTTCTTGAAGCAAGATAGGTAAAGTTCAGTCATTGTGTTCTCACCCATTATTTTAGTTTCCTGAGGTTAGAAGATTTGGAATAAGCTGTTTGTTAACATAAAGATGAAAACCAAGGTTTAAAATTGTGGTTCTGTTTCAGGTGATTGCCAATGTGTTTTTCCATGGGAACCTCTCAACACTTTTCCATATTGTTGTGACAGTAGTTATTGTTGCTGTGGCGACCGGTGTATCATTAGTGTATGATTGCCTTGGAATAGTTTTAGAGCTGAATGTAAGTGAACCTGTATACTCTTGTATTTAATAAATAACTTTTTTATAACACAGAACTCTGAAAAATCCACACCTCTATTGAAAATCTTATGTACTTTCACACAGTAGTCAGTAGAAATGTTAGTAGGAAAAAAAGGAATTACTCACTGCTTCAAAATCAGATAATTAAAGGAGAAAGGAAGTTCAGGAAGTACAGTTCATATGGTTGTGCAGGGCTTTTAGAACAGTTCTGGAGATGTAGCAAGTGGCTATGACTTACCAAGTGTTTTTAAACTGCAGTGGAAATCACTAAAATGCCCAAATGTATTGCAGGACTGAATCTGTAATTTCTTTATGTAATCACAATTCTGATGAATTTCTCAAATTACTCAACACTGGGCAGATCCTAATGATCACCTTGTGCCAAGGGGGCAAAAAAGAAAGTGGAAGAAGAGGGAGGAAAACAAAAAAAAGAAAGAACCAGTAGTAGTGAGACCACAGAGACAGTGTCTAGAATTTTTCCCTGTTTTGGGCTTAATAGAGAGCAAAACTGAGTAATTTCGTAACCTAAGTCTATGATTTTTAGGAGAAAACTTATTTGTTTGCCAGTAAACATTCCTGTATCTGTTATTGCCTCATAGCAGAGATGGACCTTAACAGGCTTGAAATAGTTTTAACACATTTATATAACTTTTTTGGTTGCCTGGAACTGCCATGTAGACTACTGGATCCTAGACTACTAGTTAACAAAGTAAACTTACCACATGAATCAGTCTGTTTTGGCACAGAATGTACATTTAATCAAAGGAAATTATAAAAAAAAAAAAAAGCCAATTTGCATTTATGATAAACATTGTTTGTCTTAACAGTTTACCTTCTGGTTTTGGTCAGCTATTTATAATAAATAAAGCAGATGTGGAAATGTCATACTCCAGATATAAAAGTTAGGAGGTGGACAAAACTTTTTAAGGGCAGCCTTTGCTGCCTTATAGAAATATTTTAGAATTGCCTCCTTATGTCCCTGTCCATGCAGTTACTGACAATTTCAAGCCATATATTACATGCTTACCTAAAACTGATGGAACAAAATGGAGGGAGTTGTTCTTTATGCTACTTGATAGATATACTTGTATGTACATTGATACATGTACACTGCTCTTCACAACAGGGAGTTTATCTGCTAATTGAGCAGTAGTGAGTGATTTTGTAGCAGTGATTTAGCAGGTCGTGCTTGCACTAATATTATAGAACAGGTCTGAATATTCAGGTAAGCTATCCAATTACCCTCTATTTAAAGTAATTATCTGCATAGTTTCTTGTCAGTTAATCCTTTACAAATTATAACAAGCTCAAAATAAACAATAGTCCTATTGGTTTGGTCAGGATGCATGTTTCCATTAAAATTTCTCATTCATGGCATGTGTTGGTAATTTCTTTTCTGTCTTCTTCCCTCTGTTTTTACAAGTGCAGAAACTTCACCTGTGTGCATATACACACCAATAGAAGTATTTAAATGTGTGGGTACATACACACATATGCCTATGCCACACAGCCAAATAGCCAAATATTGTTATAATGGAACTAATTCACTATGTGTGCCTCTGTATGTCTATATATGTGTAGGTGTTTTATACTTATTATATGGTATAATATGTTAAGAATAAATTTACACCAGAGAATTTTCAGTGAGTCTTTCTGGCATGAATAAATACTTGTGATTCCTATTTGGAATTCACTTGTTTTAAAATCATCACTCAAAAGCAATCATTCCATCAGTGCAGTATCTTTACCCAGAGAGGCTAGAAGTTGATAGCCAGGCATTTGAGTGGGTAGCTCATATCTTGTAGTTTGTTGGAGTTTTTTTTTTTCCTTTTTAAGAAAGGATTTGATAATACAACTGTACGTATTTATTGGATGTAATTGTTGCGCTTAGATTGTTCAGTCTTGATATCCACCAGTAGAGAAAAATGAATAGGCAGAGTCTTTACATGGGAAAGAAAGATGTTCTGTCTTCTCAGCAGGCTTTCTGTCCAGCAGAAGAGCTGTCTTTTGGCTCTGCACCACAGATGGCATTTGCTGCTGTTTCTCTGACTCTGCTTACTTTTTCTCTGCTTTCTGATTTTAAAACAAAACACAAGCCATTGTGTGTGTGCTGTGGTAATTTCACAGGGAAACCGTTGAGTTATACAGGAGTCAAGGGTGCACAGATTTTACTGTGCTATTCTTTTACTGGGATGCTGGTTTGTGTTGCTTCACATACTTAAGAGCCTCGGTTTTTGTGAAGATACTCTGGGCATGTACCTCTTTTTAATGTCTGTACTCATCACTGTTAACAGCTTCTACCATAAAAATATACAAAAGTTTGTACAGTGATGCAAAGAAATTGTGTAGGCTTAAAAACATTGACATTGAAACAGTGTTTATGTATATGACAAACTAGGTGTTCAAAATTTATGCATAAAAATTCTCTCTTTTGGCATGTAACTTGTGTTAATCTACAGTGGATTTACTATAAAAAACATTTAAACAGGTGCTTTTTATCTGCCCCTATCTAAGAGAGCATTTAAAGAGGAGCTGTGGTTTTAATAAGAGAGAGCGTTCTGCTCTTCTCAGAGGGAGCTTTGCTTTCCTAGGGAAGTCAATGTTAATCAGGTCATAAATGTAGAAATTGATCAGAAGTCTTTAAAATGCTGTGTGATGTTTCCACTTTTTTTTTAAGGCGGTATTATATCTAAACTGTTACATGTATTTAATAGTACTTGCAACATAAAATCTTATTTTGTATCAGCAAAACAAAAGCATTTAAACAAATCTGAATTATTTAAAATAGTTTTAAGATATTTTTGCAAGTTAATTGTGATTTTGAAAAGAAAGTTTTCCATATGGAAACATTGAAAAAGGCCTCTATTCTCTGACTTTACTGTTGTACAATATCATCACAACCATTTAAAAATTTAGGTTTTTGTTCTTCACATCTAAACATGCTTATGAGGGTTTTTTCTATTGTTGTTTCCCACACACAGGGAGTTCTGAGTGCTACCCCACTTGTTTTTATCATCCCAACAGTGTGTTATCTAAGGCTGTCCAAAGACCGATGGAACCATTCAGATAACATCCTATCCTGCCTGATTCTTGCTGTCGGTGTGCTAGTGATGACAGTTGGGTTTGTTTTGACTATCTTGCGTCCCCAGGAATGTAGCCATGGAAAAGAAATGTTCTACTGCTTCCCTAGTAATGTTTCTTTTCACAACAGTACACTTCCACCATAGGTAGCACACCAATCTCCAGACTAGATCCGGTAAATCTCAAACAAGCCGTACATGCCAGTTTAAAGGAGAGTGGAACAAACACCTGTTATGTTTTTATACGAACTAAGAATTTTAAACTGTATAACTGTATTTACATACTTGGTTTTATGCTGCCATCCTTTTCCGGATAAGACTTGACTTTTAGCTGTTGAAACAGAAATTCTCAGAGGTGCCTTTCAGTAGACATTACTTGAATAACTTTCAAGCCTATCAAAAAAGTCTGCATTTTTTAATGTAGTCTGCAATGCTGTTTAAAAGCTGTAAATGAAATGTTTAGGAATGTAAACATCTCCCATGTTTTACTGCTGTCATTTAGTTTTTATTAATTTTATAATCTTTTAATGTATATTCATTAGCACACTATAGTATTGGGGTTTTTTGATGTCCCAGAAAAAAAGGCTGTCTGGGTTTCTCTCTGCATATTAAACTTCTGCTGTTAAATTGAATACCCCTGTTAATTATGTCTTTGATTTTGCAATAACACTTAGTGCTGAAAGCATCCTTTGTACTGGCTCTTGAGTCAAGGGCAATTTTGTATTCTGACTAGACTGTAACCATTACAATTTGTAGTCTTCTAATTAAAAGATTTTGCATGTGTAAAAGCACACGGGTGAATTTAAAAAGATTCAAGTAAACAGTCTTTGTAAAAATTCAAAGATTGACAGAGAAGATGACATGTGCAGCAAACACAGCTTGATTCTTACATTTATAACCTTATTTATTATTTCTGAAACTGGATTCAAGCTTTGCTATATGCCAGGCATGTGCAGCTCGAGCAAATTCTGTAAGAAAACATTCTAAACCTGGTTTTCATTCTCATCCTCCGGTTTTTTTTTTTCAGTAAATGGCTATTGATTTTGTCGTGGTTTATTAAATTTTGGTTATTTGTTGTGTTCTCCAAAATTAATTTAACAGTAAGGTTTCATATGTATATATATGTACATATATACATATGTATATATAAAAATACACACGCATATGCCCATAGAATATGACTAATTTGAAGTTGAGAATGAGTAATATGAATACCCTCTATATCAGTGCTGGGATTTTGAAAATGTTCTGTTACCAAATCAAACTGTGTACTTTGAGTTAGCTTTTGCATTGTTGTGATCATTGTGGCTCCTTTAGCCAACCATTACCTGCCAGGTAGATATATAACGTTACTCCATTTTTATGCTGCTAAATGGGGTGTTGATGGTTTTTGTCTTCAGTTTGTCCTGCATGATAAAGCTGTTTCATTGAAGACTTCTAGCTGAATAGATCTTTAAGCAAGGATCACTATATGGTGATAATGGCCCACGACCCTAAGAATGCTGGATCTCATCTGATCTCAGAAGCTAAGCAGGGGTCAGGCCTGGTTAGTACTTGGATGGCAGACTGCTTGGGAATCCTGGGTGCTGTAGGCTTTAAATTTTCAGCCTGAAGAGAAGGCTCCAGGGAGACCTTACTGCAATCTTTCAGTAGTTGAAGGGGGCCTATAAGAAAGATGGGGACAAACTTTTTAGCAGGACCTGTAGCAATGGGAGAAGGGGTAATGGTTTTAAACTAAAAGAGGGTAGATTTAGACTAGATGTAAGGAATAAATTTTTTACAATGAGGGTGGCGAAACACTGGAACAGGTGTCCCAGAGAGGTGGTAGAAGCCCCATCCCTGAAAACATTCAAGGTCAGGCTGAACGGGGCTCTGAGCAACCTGATCTAGTTGAAGATTCCCTGCTCACTGCAAGGGGCTTGGACTAAATTACTTTGAAAGGTCACTTCCAATCCAAACCATTCTATGATTATATGATAATACTCCTAAGAATAACACACTTTTTAAAAGCAGTGCTTTCATAATAAATGTTTTAATATTGGTGGGGATTTTTAGGAGGTGTTTTTTTTTTTTTTTTTTTTTTTTTTTTTTAAGTTGCAAAGCTGTTAGAACTGGGAGTGTTATTCTACTTTATTTCCCT